ATGTCATATATACCGATTTCTCCAAGGCATTGACAGAGTTAATCACCGGTTGTTGATTGAGAAATTAAAAAATCTAGGTTTTTCAGAGAGTCTAGAAAAATGGGTATATAGTTTTCTTAGTGGGAGAAGGTTAATGGTAAAAATTGTCAATTTTTTGTCAGAAGAGATGGCTGTCAAGTCTGGGGTTCCCCAGGATGGGCATTGTTCTCCTTCGCTATTTAGTCTGTCAACGACCTCAAATATTGTATAAAGTATTGTGAATTTTTAATGTTCGCTGATGATCTCAAATTATTTTTAATGGTTCTGAATGATTTTAATATTAGTTTACTTCAAAGGAATCTGGATAATTTGTCTGATTGGTGTAAGTTAAACTTGTTGGATCTGAATGTTGAAAAATGCTTTAAGATTTCTTTCAGTAAAAAGAAAAATAAGATCTCATCCTCTTATTCAATAGATGGTCATGTGCTGAATGACTTGGGAATACTTTTTGATTCTCAACTGTTTTAGTGAGCATATCAATCAATTAGCGGTTAAGTCTCAAAGGATGTTAGGGTTTACTTTAAGAAATTATTATGAACTCTCTCTGGAAGCTGCGAAGTCAGTGTATGTTGGGTTCGACAGATCACAACTTAAATATGGTTCAATTATTTGAACGCCTCAGTATAACGTTTATAAGGCAGTACTCGAGCGAATAAAAAATAAATTCTTGAGATATAGTAATTATAGGTTTAACATGGATCTTATTACTGATCATGACTATTCTCTTATCCTACATAAAATGACTTACTCTGGACAAAAAAAGAATTCGATATCTCATTTATAAAATAATAAATGGTATTGTTTCATGTCCATCTTTGCTGTCTTAAATAAACATTGCAGTGCCGCAAAGAACGCTACGGCAAAATAATTTATTTTCCATTAATTTTCATAGAACAAATTATGGTAGATATTCTTTTATGGACAGATCTCTAGAGTTTTTAAATGAGAGAGGGTAGATTGGATGTTTTTAATAACTCTTTTCAAGTGTTTAAGAGCACTCTACTAAGGATGCTTTGATGCAATATAATCGCTATAGGCACTGAAATATCATTGTATATTAGTATTAATATTCTTGTGATTTTTTATTTTTGATAAGACCGATTCCTATATTTCTAGAATTACTTATTTAGATTTGTAAAATTTATGTTGACATAACTATATTATATAGTTGTAATTTTGTAATGGGGGTTTCCCGTTTAATAAATAAATAAAAAATAAATTCAAGGTAACCAAATTGTACTCTTCGAACTTCAAAGGACCGACAGTTATTTGCCGCGTTTCAATATCCACATCCGATGCATTTTTTACATCTCAAGCGTTTATCCACATCAGACACATCTACTTTTAGATAAAAGAAACAAAAGTTGATGCATTTCATTCATAAAGTATGTTTTGTTTGGTCCCAATCATCGGAAAAGAGAAAGAAGATATTTTATGCGGATCGAAAGAAGACAGACTGTAATCGAAAATCTCGTCTGGCAACGCTGCTGTTGTACGCAACTAAAAGTCTGTTGATACCAGTGGCATATCTTATTAAAGATAAAATCATAACTAATTATAAAAAAAATAATGAAATACTAACCGATATGGTGTGCAATAAACTTTATAATGGTTTAACCTTTAAAGCAGATTGGATTTGGTATAAGGGTATGAAGTTCAGTGGAATGTAGGTAAAAAGCTTAAAAACACAATTTTTTTTCAAGAATAATACATTTATTACATATAAAGATGTTAAATAAAATAAAATAAAACAAGATAAATAAATCAAGATTTATTTTAAACAAATTTACGAATTCAATTTTGGGGTTAATATTTGAACAATTTTTAAAATTGGTAAATGAGAGATTTTTAACACTACTAAATTTATAAAAGTTATTAAATTAATAAATTAACCATACTTATATACAAGGTGAGGATTTTAAATGGAACGCTTCTTATAGCGGATCTGGTAATAAGAATTTTGTAAAATCCGAAAACACGTAGAACTGTAAAACAATAAACCTATCCATTCATAGTTTTTAACTTGTAAAACTAGGTAGTAAACTAACTTACTTATTATCATCCATTAATGTGTGCGGCATAGAAAAATTATCTTCTGGTTTCTTACTAGAGCTGTCAAAAATACTGATACTGGAATCAGAGCTGTAACAGAGTATTCAGAACTTTTAATGTAAAAATAAGTATACATTTTGATTAATAATAAGGTAGTTCATGAAAATAATCAAAGAAAGAGTCATGTAATATGAGTTTATAAAAAAGTTTGTCCTTGTTAAGCACCTACAAAATTTAAAGAACTTACAATATAAAAATTTCTTTGTAAGATAAACTACCAACTTTCATCTTAAAGGATAAACACTTAAATGAACATTTCCGAAACATAATTAAGAAAGTTTTTAGTTACCTAAATGAGCTTTCTCGAAACAATGAACTTAGTTTTGGCAGTGCTCCAGGCTTGAGATATTTGCTTTTTGAAGAATATCATTAGGATCAAAATACTCCGAGCATAACACTCTTTTTTAGATACCTTCATTTTCTTCAAGTCCTACAAGTGATAGCCAAATATTTCTTGTATGCCTTTCGGTTGGGAATATAAAAATCATGCATAAGCATATTTATTTTACCACTATAGTCCAGACTAACGTATTTCTATTAATTACAATTTTTTGCGAAATTAATAATGTTGAAAGATCAAAGAAAATAATAGTAATACAAAAGTAGATAATACATGTGATATTACGGCAAAAATCTTTAAATCTACACCACTGAACTATGCAATACATCATCACCTAACCTTACTTACTTATGAAAAGATACTTCAGCACCCACATTTTCCAGTTTTTTGCTCAAAATGCACTCGAGAACCATGTTGTTAACTATACACAAGCCGAAATTTTCCCAAAAAAGTCTAAAGATTAACAAAAACACCCAATATGCAACAATTTAATGGATCGCAACGTCGCAAACTATCGATGGATAAAATACTATACGTGACATCCGTGACGTATAGTATGAATGAAACGAAGTTATTTTAAATTGCGGTGGTGTCACGTTTAACGCTTTTAAAATCCTTGCATTTATTTGCAGGAATAATAATGGTGTTTGCCACAGTTTATCTTAGTATAAGCAAAGTTGTTACTTAGCAAGCGTATGTATGTAAAAACGATAGGTACAAAAATGCCCTGCCTAATGGTGTAAAAATAGGTTCTGCTAAAATATCAAGTCTAATGAAAGCAGTTAAAATAGATTAATCTACTTTGTATATATTTTATACGTTTTTTGTTTTGTTACAAATCATTTTATTTAGAGATTTACTATTAGAAATGTTTCGAGAAATATTGCAACATCTCTGCCCACAATGCGTCGGAGTTGGAAACACTGCACTAGGTACGAAAATGAATTGGTGGGGACGCTTGATGTGTCGCAATATATCTCGAAACTATTCTAATTAATAGAACTTGTTGCTATTAGTGAGTTATAGGTAAAAACTATTTTTAAATATGAAAGGGATAAACTACACAGCCTGATAACAGCGCACCAGGAAACGCATGTCGGTTCATTTACGAAATAGCTACGCGCTACGTTTCTTTGCAATGTATGACCGGGTTTTAAATATAAATAGAGGAGCTTTGCATCTACTATATATCTACATCTGCGTTTGTTTATCCGAGATGTACCTGTCCAGATTATATTTTTTACATCTCGATTTGAAATGAGATGTTCGTTCCATGCCAGAAAGTAAGTGTTCTGTGAAGTCCAGTTTGTCAATTTACCCTTTGTTTATGCTAGCATGAATATAAAAGTGATTAGTTTGTTTAATTTTTGTTTAGATTTCAAATTTAGGTTGATTTGTAGTCTCAAAAGTCAAATTTAAAAAGTATAAACTTCTAACTTGTCATTGTCATTTTATCACGTGACCAATAAAGTCTAGAGCGTTTGTTTATTACATCTACATTCAGATCTAATTCTTGTGATAAAAAATTTACATCTCAGATGCATCCGATGTGGATATTCAAACGCGGCAATCGTCGCTTCTCTGTTGATGTTATTCTCGGACATTATTCTTAACCTACGTTAGATCAACACTTGAATAATCTGTTATTTGGTCTCCTCATTATTCTGTGCATATCCAAATGGAAGCTGTTCAAAATCGATTTCTGAGAACTTGTGCTCACGGAATGGGATTACTATTATTAAACGATTGTAAAACTTTTAAACCTAGAATGTTTATTTATAAGATGCACTAATGACCTATTGTTTTTTCACAAAGTGTTATCAGGTAAAATAAATTGTGAAGATATATTATCGTCTTTGCCATTTCATGTACCATGTTTTGTTTGAGCTTCCACAACATAGAACAAACTATGGTTATTTTACTTTATCTAGAGTTATGTGTCTTTGTAATAATTATAACTGTGACATAATAGGAATCTGTTACAATTAATTTAAGAAAAAACTCTGTATATCACACCCTAGACTCAGCTAGAGCTGTGGGTTTATTTTAATTATTTTAAATTTTTAATTTCGTTCTTTTGTCATTTTAGTTAGGTTAAGTAGATACTTGTAATATTTTATATGTATATATTTTGTAAACGGATACATGACCGTTTAAATTAATAAATATATAAATTATAAGATAAACTATTATATGACCCTATAATTAACCAGTCTATTTAAAACTCATTATTCACTTTTAATTTCAGAATCAGATGTGACGTACCATGGCTCTATTGTTTATTAGATTTGTTTACTACTGTAAACTGACGTTTTACAAAACGTAACCCAATTTTTTTTAATTTTGCTGTTTGTTGTAAATTGTGTTGAATTAACAATATTTTTGTTTTTGCTGAATGCTATTTCTTTTATACAAGCCAAAGTGACAATTTACCAGTAATAGATATTTGTGATAAACTGTCAATAGGTCAGGAGATCAACCTTTTAACTTTTAGAAACAAAAACCTTACCTGCGCTGGATGATGAACGGGTTTCTTACAAGGAGTGTGCTCTGTGCTGCTACCTTTGTCTTCCCCTTCCAGGAACCAAGCGCTGATGGTCATGAACCCTACTGTGCTTTGAGATCTAGAGAATATGGGTATTCTAAGACGGGTCGAGTCTTGTACGACGCTCAAAAGGATGCAGGTCGACCCCAAAGGGACAGCAGTGTCAGATACTCGCTCCTTTACGTCGAACACCGTGAATCTGACTTTGGTGTCTCTCGAGAGACCATCTGAAGCGCGAAAGCTCACTGTGCTCAGAAAGATCGGGTTACTACATTTCTGAAAAACGGATCATGTACTAATAGATTGCTATTTTGTTGAAAAATTAATGTAATACGCCGACGCTTGAACCCTATAGACACTTAACAATTATTTAAATTGTCGGTTATACCTTTAAATATCCAAATTTCATATCTATAAATGGCTGTGTATTAAACAATTTTGATTCAAACGAAATAACTATAGGTTTGTTTCAGCAAAGTTTTGAATCGTTCAGAACTTTACTAAGTTTGTGCAAAGCTATTTTAAATATTGCTTAAATTATATCTAGAATAATATATAAACAAAAATAAATAATTTAGAAATACAAATATATAAAAATACCAAAATACAAACTTACCAAGTAGATAGAAGCAACGGATGAAGAAAAAGAAGCCACTTTCTGTTTGTGAAGAAGGGTAAATGTTAAATTAATATAAAACGTTAAATATTTCCCCTTTAATTTTGCTGTAATTTGTCTGTACAAATATTGTGAGTTCATTTTTTAAAAAATGTTTATTTGTAATATTTTTTTGATGGTTTATGATTTTGATTTAGTCGCTACTACAACAAGAAATTGGTCAAAAATCAGAAAAAAATTAAGTCATTCATGGACAGGATTTTTGGATATTTGAATCTGCCTGGTTATGGCGTCAGCGGATTTTTCCAAAAATGTAATAGCAAAAGAGATAAATTAGGTACTCACTTCTATAACTTCTGTTCTACCGTACTGTATCCAACATTTGGAAGACGGTACAAATACGTCTATGACTAGAGATGGATTTGGTGGACGACCGTGTCCATCGCACAGTAAATTATCACAAGCGAAAGATATTTCACAGAGTGGAATTTCATTTACGTCTGAAAGAAAGATTAATGTCACTGGAATTTGATAAAGCCATTTATTAAACCCATTTTTAGAATGAGTTTAGATTCAGAAATTGAAATTTTGATTTTTACAACTACAACGTCCGACAATGACATAAACTAGGTTAATAGTTAAAGGTTTGGCAAAATAGTAAATGTCATTAGTGGCATTTAATGATTTTTCCAGTTTTGATTACTTCTGACTTTTGAAAATATTATTTTTGAGGACCCGAAAAACATGGTGTAAATATAAGGTGTTTCAACTCTCCAAAAAATGCCTAAAATTGACCAGGGTAAAAGTTAAAATATAACTGGAGGAGAATTTTAATCACACAGTACAGCGTCGATAATCCAGACATCAAAAATCCGGACCGTGGAGAATCCAGATTCTAGTAAAACAAATCAAAGTCTTGGCCACAAATAAGCGAAAATGTGGTCACAATTAATCCGGATTATCAACTTTCTACTGTGTATATTTATTATTCTCATATACCACTTGAAAATACAAACAAAACATCTTAATTTGCAGATTAACTTTAATTTGATGAACCTATTAGATTATCATAAAGGAAACTCCAAGTATATATGGAGAAAAATATTAGTGGTAAATAAATAATTGTACCTAGAGGGCATGTATGTTGCAACCGCCATGTCTGCAAATCAACAACAGGTTTATGGTTTCTTTTACGTTCTATGCACTGCCTTAATGCACTCAATTCTGCTCTTACACCCTCATAGCTGGCCTGCCTTATCACGTCCATCCAGCTAGACCTTTCTAAATCTGACGTGGATGCTAAAGCTTGACTGAGTCCCCCATCAAATACTGGATAAAAAGACAAACATGTAAAAAACCTTCTACAGAATGTCATAATGATGTTTACCTAGATAAAATGGAAAATGCCCTTCGATAGTAAAAGCTGTAGAAGACATTGGTGGATCTATCCTAATTTGGCACTGCTCTAGAACAATCACCCCTAGGGGTTCAGACCAAGGGTCTCGACTTTTGAAATAAAATAACAGATTTCCTCGGAGTCGACACCATCTTTCTAAGCAAACTGGAAGCAAAATTGGTTTAAAGACGTTATATTACATTTAATCATATATATTACTTTCGGTTTTTCTAAAAAATCCTTCCTGTTTTTCCCGCAAGAACAAAACTCCCTCTTTTTCAAATTTGGTAGATGGTTGACTGGCCAAAGTTATCAGTTCTTGCTTGTTAAACCGCATCTTTTATGTTAAAGTAAGATATTGAATCCTGAAATATTTATTAAATTACACAAAAGCAAGCTGTTATGTGAAAGAATACTATATAGTTTTAATCTAGTGTAACTCTAGTTTAGATCAATATTATTACATATTAATGAGAGGTGTTGATGTTTAGGTTCCTAAAATAAGTATAAGTTAGTTATTAAACAGAACACAATATATGTACCTACTTCTGGAATACTTGTGAACATTCATATTAGAATAGTTACAATGATCCGCAACTAAGATATATAGTTCAAAGCCAAGAGATATTTTATAGAAATTACAATATCTATATTTATATTCCATTTAAGTTATAAGTTTAAAAAAATATCGACAATGCATTATAGAAAATAAATATGATAAAATACTATATATTCAACTATTTTTCAAATTACATCAACATTATCGCAACTCATATGTATATTTAAAATCTGTCTAACTATAATTTAATTTTAGGAATAAATGCATTAATTTATAAATCAATATTTGCATAAAATTTTAAGTAAACAATGAACTCCATTTAATATGGTATAACATTTCTGGGAAAATATTTGCTGAAATAATTTGTATCAAATATTGTAGGTAGAATAAAGAATTTAATCCTTTTTGAAGGTAAAAACACATTTATTACTTTAAATATACTTTAGAATGACAAAAAATATAAGGGAGTGTATCCCTGAGAAAAAAAAAGTTATTTGTTGAAAGCTAATAAATAATAAATTTTATTAGTATCACAAACGGGTACTTACCTAATGCGTTCACATAATAGCAATAATAATTAAATTTAAAAAAATTACAGGCAATTATAATTAAATCAAAATTACTTTTTTAAAACATATTTACAAAACCCACTCCACTGGCACATTTGACACATTTCACTTTGACGTTTAACCAGCCATAGTACGTCAAATGTCAATTGTCAGTTTGTTTCAACAACCTACTCCGATGTGGATATTCAAACGCAGCAATTATAGAGGCCTTTAAGGACAGATTCCACCACAAAGCACGTATCTTCTCCACCGTTGTCTTAAACGAAGTTTAAAATGACATTTTTACATTAACAATGTCATTGTAATCTCCGTTTAACACAACGGTGGAATCGGTTATTATTAGATTCACTTGTTAACGAACTATGAAGTAAAATTTATTTATAAAATAATTGTGTTAATAGGGTCTATTCTGCAACAATTCCTTTATATTTTAACGGCCTTTAAAAATATTTTCTTCTTTGCTACTGTCATTATTTAAACGGATCTTTAAAATACATTAGGCCGATTCCACCGTTGTGTTAAACGAAGTTTAAAATGACATTTTTACATTAACAATGTCATTTTAATCTCCGTTTAACACAACGGTGGAATCGGCTCTTAGGGTAACGTTTGCAACGTAAATTTTTTTAGTACTTAAAAAATGCATTAATTTAGTTCTAAATTTAGTACTTAATTTAGTATCGTGACATACAGCCTTAAATAATGACAAGTGAATTAACGAATACGAAAATATTTTTAAAGGCCGCCAAGGAATTGTTACAGAATAGACCCCTTTATCTTTTAAATTTGTTTCTAAGGGTATGGTCCGTTATTAACCGAAATATCAGTTACTCGGTCCAAAACTAACCGCTCTGCTTGACATTCCTGAAAAATCGGTTAAATTAGGGACGCGGTTACCTGAAAATGGTGACTCAAATGTCAATTCACTAACCGGTACATTTTTGCGGTTTCCATTAAGGGTATGGTCCGTTATTAACCGACTACTAACCGCTAGTAACCAGGATTTTTTGACATCGGTTCCTGAAAAACACTAATTTCTTGGTTACTTTTGGACCACGGCCGAGATTTACGTCACTTTTGTGACATATTGACATTCGACTTATTGGAAACCGCAAAAATGTACCGGTTAGTGAATTGACATTTGAGTCACCATTTTCAGGTAACCGCGTCCCTAATTTAATCGATTTTTCAGGAATGTCAAGCAGAGCGGTTAGTTTTGGACCGAGTAACCGATATTTCGGTTAATAACGGACCATACCCTAAGTCGAATGTCAATGGCCGTGTTCATCGTCGTCAAACATGTTTAAGGGTCGGTTTTTCAATGTCCAGTCAAAGTGGCTGTTACGTAGCCGACAGCTATATTTAGCTGGTAGTCGCAAAGTCCCTGTTACCGATGGAATATGGATGGAAGTGTTTTTCATCACGAATTTAACTGCTAGCTACGTAGTCTAATAGTTTTTATTTATTCTTAGACAGGTTGGCATTTCTGCTAATTTGTTAAATGGTTTTTATTGGATAATTTAAATTTTCCGTTTTACATATCGTGTCTTGTGTTGATCGTCACCGACCTTCACATAAAAATTGTTCTATTTTGCTTCCATTTTTCTTTAAGATCTTGTTATTTTCTGTTTTTGGGCAATTGGTGATTTAGAAAAAAGAGAAAATATCTAATTACGCGGAATCAGATAGAGCCCTACTATTGAAATTTGGTTATCTTACAAAATGTCAAAAAAAAAACGGAAAATGCAATATCACGGAAACGAAATGAGAAGGTTGCAGAATAATCTAAAATTTAATAATTCGGCATCAACTGCTATGGTTATTAGCCTCGTGTTCTGTGCAGGCTTTGTTACTGTTTCCCAGCGCCACTTTAGGAACAGCACTGTTAATTAGTACCCAACAGTGAATGGTAGGATTCCCCACTCGACCATTTACTGTTGGGTACTAATTAACAGTGTTGTTCCTAAAGTGGCGCTGGGAAACAGTTACAAAGTCTACACAGAACACGAGGCTAATAACCATAGCAATTGATGCCGATGACACAAAAAACAAAAAAAAAATAAAATTCAGTTCATCGATATCAAAATAAATGGGCCGTTCCCTTACAACACACGGATTACACGGTCATCATTGATTAATATTCAATAATTTAAATAATTTATTTTTTGGCATCGTCGCTGTAAATATATTCAAAGAAACCCATTTTTCAGAAATAAAATTAATAAAAATATTAACCTCTAAATTTGACAAACAACGTCCTACGCATGTACAATAAATAGCTGGCAGCTATCTATACGAAATTACCACTTGCAAGTGTCGGTTACGGTTACAGTCAAAATAGCTGACGGCTATCGTATAACTGGAGGTCGAAAAACGTTTTGACAGTCAGTGGCTGACGGCTATCTCCGTAGCTGCCAGCTATCCTAAATAGCCGGAGATTGAAAAACCGGACCTTAAAAGCAAAGAAACATGTTTCATAAGCGGTTGGAATGACGCTGAACGATCATTTTTGTTTACGATTTGTTTTCTCAACCTCAAATCTGTCAAAAAATGGAATGACATTCGGTTGGCACAAAGAAGGTTATGTGAATTGTTTACTTTAGTATTTTTTTAAAAAAATTGAGTTGAATTGATTTGTACAGTGAATTAGAGTTTATATAAGTACCCTTCTGAAAGTGGTTTTGACAATTTTACGGCGAAAAACCTACAACTTGTATTATTTTGGGTTGTAAAGTCATGATGTTTTTATTGCCTATATGGATCTTGAATTCTACATACTTAGACTAATCAAATAAATTGTAATAGTCATTTTATTAAAGGTAAAATACATTTTTTTGACACACAAATAAAAACATACTGTAACTAGATCATACTTTGAAGAGCAGAATGAGAATGCTATTTATTGTGTATTGTGTTTAATCAACTGTCTGGTCTGCACCAATAAATTAAAGTAAAGGAACTCATGATACTAATAACATACATCTCAAAAAGTGATCTTTTTACATATATCAAGGATACATAAAAGTGTATAATAATAGAGACATCAAGTATGACTTTCTTATTTTTAGGGAAACAGAGTTCCTTCGAAGTTAGTAATCATTTAAACTGGACTCCAGCCCAGAACTTGAGGCATGTGTCTCAAATCAGTTCAAAACTAACTGATTCGAAAAAGGAGGAAGAGATAAAAATGAAAATCAACCTGAAGTAAACTTTTATTTTTGAGTCATACCTAACATCATAAGTCCCGCTTTAGGCAAGACAACCCCACTTTCAAGTTATGTGTACCATTGTCCCCAAAGAATGCAAGAATGTCCCGCTTTAAAAGAAAACGTGATCTGCTTCAAAACATTTTTCAAAAAAGAGTGGTATCTCATATAAATATGCGCTAGTGAAAAAACTTACTTAATTTGAAGTATCAGTATTGAAAGCCAAGCATAACATAAACAAGACACGTCAACAGTTCCACTCCCATTTAAAAACTAAAATATAGAAAATCAGCCCACTAAACAAGTTTTATTTCGCTTTTCTAATTTTTAATAAATAAACATAAAATTATGTTATTTCACTTATTTTTAATACATTTTTTTATTATATTATTGTTTTATTTTTACTACAATCTTACTGTTGTTATTCTACATTAAAAATAATGAAAAATTGCTGTTATGCCTTTTAAAATTTACAGGCTTCTTGCTGTGAGGTAAGAAATGATTATTACAAAAACCGAAAATTGTTAAAATAATCCCTATCTAATGCTTTATTTATTTTTTACAAAGTATTTTTCATATGTAGGTAGGTACTTAGGTGTTATACATTTTTGGTCATTGCTAATATTCATTGAGTCTGAATTAATAAAATTTGTCTAGTATTATAGAGTTATACATACCTTGTCGACAAACTACATACAGTAATTATTCTTTTATAGGAATGATATATTTTGTATTGGAAATTAATAAATATACAAATTTAATGTTGTCATATAGGTAGAGCGACTTATTAGCAAAAATTATTTGAAATGTATACAGTAATGAGGTATTTTTTTAAAGGTTCAACAAAAAAAGGTGGGCCCTTTTTAATATAATTGCTTATATTTAATTTGTAAATAAAATGTCATACTTTTATTATTATTTATTTTTTAATGCCCTATATACATTACATAACAAAAAACATCGGTGCAGTTTTAATAACAAAACTCGTCTGTTTTGAATAACTCTGTGCTAAAACTATATAATATGTAGGTATGTTATATTATCCATATTCCTTACTGGTGGAATCCCATTAACGTCCAAATGAAATAATTTAAGCATACGTGTATGTATCTACGTCTGGAATTAATTTTATTTTCTTCAAATAGGTACCTCCATAAATACAATATTATATTAAAATACAACTTAACTAATCAACTCTATTAGGGTATAAAACCTTAAAAATATAAATAAATAAACAAACACATAACCTAACAAAATGCCAAAAGACGGATTTGACAGGGGTTCAAGGTCAATTTTATGCTTTTAAAGCAAACAAGGAGTTTATTTTCGCTTTTATGCTTCTTCAAAAGCGCTGCAGCGGTTGACAGTTCATCGTCACCGCTTACTCAGCGTTACAACATGTTTGACGACGATGAACACGGCCAATATGTCACAAAAGTGACGTAAATCTCGGCCGTGGTCCAAAAGTAACCAAGAAATTAGTGTTTTTCAGGAACCGATGTCAAAAAATCCTGGTTACTAGCGGTTAGTAGTCGGTTAATAACGGACAATACCCTAAATATTTCCAGCAAAAATAGTTCATGTTATGTCAAATAGTTTCACCGACCTTGATATTAAACTGGATGCCTCTATAAGACAAACCCTACTTCTAATTTCTAAGCCGACATGAGTGACAAAAATGGTATGTGCGCATGACAATTTGGACGCCAGACTGTCAATTTCGAGCATTCTACGTCACGTTTCTCTCGGGCGTACTACGATGTTATATTATTTTTTATTAATAACGCTCTTTTAATAATTATTATTATTGGAACATTTGTTTCAGCTGCGTATTAATCAAAAATCATTTTTAAGTGATTTTCCTAAATTAAAAGGTGTCGTAGTTGAATGTAATAAGTGTTAAATTTAATTTTGATGTTCCTTTTTAGTGCATTTCGATACGCACGTGTGGGCGCCACATTGTCAAATATCACCTCGTTGTGCGGCTTGATTTAAGTCCACTTCATTTGACAGGACCACTGAACTGTAACAGTTCAGAGGACGAAGTAAGTGATCTGTGGACAGGACCGGCATCTTTTTGAGGTTATGTGACGATCGATTTGAACTACTTTCGTATTTTAAAAAATATTTGTAGTTTGAAATATCATCAAACAAACGTTTTGTAATTCTTATCAGTATGTAATCATTATTTGAGTTTTCGAGTTTCGTTCAAAATACAAAATGGACAACAAAAATCTAATATCTGTTCACCCACTTACTAACGACCCTACGGCTGCTTGGAAAGTTATATCCAAACAGCAAAAGGTGATAAAATTGAACGTTAAAATACCATCCAAACCTGTGGAATCAGACAAACTTCGGTTTGTATGTATGAGCGATACTCATTCTCTTATTAGGAATTTGACATACAGTATACCCGAGGGCGATATTTTTGTCCACGCTGGTGACTTTACGAAATGCGGACAAAAAGACGAAGTTATACAGTTCAACGAATGGTTAGGTAAAGAAAAATAACTCCTATTTCTATGCTAATTCAAAATTTGAGAGGTAGAAGTCCGTTTATACTGCACTGCTAAGGCAATCTCAATTTCGAGATTTTTACATATTTGGTAAGCTTACATTTTATTTTATTATGATACAAAGTTAGAAATGCCCATCTGCATTAGAAAACATTTCAAAAACTGCAAAATTTACATTACAAAGTCTAAAAGTACATAATTATGTATACTTACTAGACATTTTCATTTTGCAGATAAGACCTCTTGTTTTAGCAGGGCAGTATATCGCTAGCCATTACTCAATTATGATAAATAATCATGACTTCAAAAATTATTTTAGGCACTTTGCCACATAAACACAAAATAGTAATTGCCGGTAATCATGAGCTTAGTTTTGATAAAAAATTCAAACAAGAGTTCAACTCTGCCATTAGTAAACGAGAAGGTAGACAAAGTCACAGTGAAGATGAAGTAAAAAACTATGGTAACACTAAAGATGATATTGTCGAGGCTGTTAATACAGAACATATTAGGAAATATCTTACGAATTGTATATATTTAGAGGATAGTGGTTTAGAGTTGTATGGAATTAAACTATATGGATCTCCATGGTAAGTTTTAATCCAGAATAATAATTAGTGCTGCGTAATATTGTCAATACCTTTTAGGCAGCCCGAGTTTGGCAACTGGGCATTTAATTTGAGAAGAGGGGAGGAATGTCTATCAAAATGGAATGCCATACCAGGTGATACAGATATTTTAATTACACATACACCTCCATTAGGTCACGGAGATTTGGTATGTTCTGGGATACGAGCAGGTTGTGTAGATTTATTAAGCACTGTACAACAGAGAGTTCAACCAAAGTATCATATTTTTGGGCATATACATGAAGGTGTGTATGCAATGCTTCAAATGTATGTAAACAGATAAGAACTTTTGTATGTCAAATAGTATTTTGTAAATTGTAATGAAACAATCTATTTTTAGGATATGGAGTTACATCTGATGGGAAAATAATTTTTATAAATGCTTCTACTTGTGATATTAACTATATACCAAATAATTTGCCTGTAGTATTTGATGTTCCACTTAAAGATGGTATTAAAAAAGATTAATGTATTAGAACGTTTTTATACTGTTTGTAAATAAATGTACCAACTGGATTTTTAATCTTGGTAGTTTGAAATTAAATCTTGTTTTAGTAATAATAGGATCAATAACAGTAGTATTATGGATAACACTGTTCTAAAAAAGAACATGGTCTTATTTTGGTTAAATTATTCAGTTTGAAGTTTTAGTTTTATTCAATAAGAGCTTGAAATGTTTATGGATAAAAGGTACTTTTACTCACTACTTTAAGGGGATAGAGGAGCAGAGAGGGGGTACACATCAAAGTATTTCAGCAAATTCAAAGCCATATTTCTCTCTTATATATTAAGTGGGATACATCTAAAAAACCTTTCAAGTAATGAGCAGTCTACCTAATTATTTTAATTTTTGTAAAGGGACAGTGCTTTTATTAGTTTTATTTCAAAAACGTGATTGCCACTATTTTTTAAAAGTATTGAATTTAAGGAAAAGTAATATGAACTAAGTTGATTTTTGGGCATAATTTTACTACGTGTTTAAAAAATACAATTTAATAAGTAAGTGCCTACTAGTAAAATCCAGACATCAAATCATTTATCTCTCTAGCTTGAATATAGCATTTGTTCTTTCATTTTGTGAACACTTTGTCTGCTCAAACTATATACCTATTGTGAGATTCTAGTATCAAGGAGAACATAAGTACATAGTTGAAGTGCCATTTGGGTGGACCGTTTCTTTCGAAATCTGTGCCTTCTTTGTAATAAAAGTATTGACATCTGATATCTTTGGATATTAAGAATTTTCAACCTTCTTTTCTTGCTTTCCTCCTAAGATATCTTTGCTAACTTCCTGTAGATCTATTTTTTGCTCTTTCATGGCTTTCTGTTGAAAAAAAAAAAAGGAATTAATTCAGTGATTTAAAAATATCCCACACAAAAATGTGTCATAGCTGCATGTGCTAACTTTTTTTTTATATTGTTTTGTGAATTTTTTATAGCTAATCATGAAAGTGTTACATGTGTTATTGTTATTATTAATAGTTATAATTAAATTATTAATCTTTAAACTAATTAGCCTTGATTTTAAAACAACGCACATTTCCGATTTCATTGTAAATTTAGATTAGATTTAATCATTATTATTAATGATAATGAAAAACACTGATAAACCATGAAACTTCAGACAAAACCTTTTAAGTAAAAACAAATTGTTGCTAACGTAGACATATCCAAAAATATTAATAAAATGCTTACACTTTAAAGTGATCATATTTTGAAAAGTAGAAAGCGGGACAAATCGAAAACATAGATTTTTATCGACGAATTCTATTGAAGAGCAAAAAAGGGAAATCTTCAATAATGGAGGGCTTTGTTGTAAAAAAAATTTAGGTAGCTTAAATTAAATATATATTTTGGTTTCGCCGGGCAAAAGCGGGCCTGGTGTTTTAAAATCGGGACTGTCCCGCCTAAATCGAGACGGATGGTCTTTTTAACTTACTTTTACACATTGTTGGTACACTTTGAATAACGGTGCACACATGGAATCATTCGTGCTGCCTCTTAAAAAATGTTCAGAAAACCACAGATTAAAACATGCATCATATTCCTTTTTTAAATCATTACAAGCTTCACCGATACTATTCATTCTTAATAAAACAATACTTTCACTATTTTTGTCAATTTCACGTGAAGAATATTTATTAGGTACACCGATAATAAAGTAAATGTGTAAAAAGAAAATAAATTTAATATACAAGACCTATAAGAGCTACGATCTACGATAAGAGAGGTTAGTTCCATGGAGGAAAGATTATTAGTTAGTTCTTTCTTGATTCTGGTCCAGTGTTGCCAGATTTGTCTAAAAAAATGTACCAGATTCCATAAAAATGTAACCGATTCTATAAATTGTACCAGATTTTTTGAATTGTGATGGTTTGGTTCATTGAAGAGCAAAACAAAAGCAGAGATCTAACGTACATTTACTAAAACCATCTAATATATTTTAAATGTCAAAAGGAAACATACGCTAAAAAACGCAAACTACTAGATTTTGCTTCGAGTGTGCTAGAGTACCAAATTCTTAGATAATGCCAGTCTAGTACAATTATACTAGACTGGCAACACTGTTTTGGTCTCGAGTCTTACAAATGTTCAGAAAGCTTATACAACAGTAATTAGGCATTCCAAACGTTCTGACGGGTTATGATATGGCAAAATTATGGCAACCCTGTAGGCCTGGTGATTTGACAAGGTCAATGAAATAGATAGTTACATAGATTGATCATCCATATTTTTCAAAATAAACATAAGCTTATGCCTTGAAGTAAAAATGTAAGAAATTATTTTTTTTAAATATCTAAAGGATAAAAATTGGTTTTAAAACACATTTTTGCTAAACCGATTCAAATTAATAAATATTTGCCAGGCAATATGGCCGCTCGTAAACGACCAGCTTTGAGCAATCTATATAACTATATATGTATCATTGACCCTGTTAATGACAACATGACAACAGGGTTGCCATATCTAAACTGTCATTACCCACTGGTAGCCATTTGGACAGGTCGTTGGAATGCCTAATTGACCTAAATCTTACAGATTAGTCAACCCATGGAGTTCACTGGTCAACCCCAATGAACTGGAGTGGGGTAGAATGCTTGTCAATAGGCTTGAGATGCGACTCTATGGGCGAAGACAGGTTATTTTTCATCTCACTCGGGAGTATTTATAACAAGCATTTTCTATTTCACTTTGTTATTGTTTGATCCACCACCTTGTAGATTGAACAATAACAATGTGAAACAGAAAATGGTTATTATAAATACTCCCGAGTGAGATAAGAAATAAAAATGGCTGCGCCCATCTTGTTCTATTGATATAATATGCACATTGGCTTTCTACCCCACTCCAATTCATTGGTCAACCCACTAACAGTGTAGCCACACGTCAGTTGAGTGCAGCCAATCGTAGAAGGTCTGTTTGGTAACAGCTCTTAACTAGTAGCAAAACGAAAAGTCGCATTATTAATAATTCTGGATGTGTCTACTGCTTCAATAATACGTTACCTTAAGTCCAAGTTCAACGCGTTGACAATGACAAGTGACGGCGACTTTTTTATCACAAAAAAATACAGCTCTGGGGTGAGATTACAGAACGTCTGCAACTTTGCAGATCTGCAAATATGGCGGCCACTTTGAAAATCTGCAAATATGACTGACTTACACATGCAAGTATCAAGTTTTCGTATTCCAAATTTGGGTTTAGTGTTGTTGGAATGTTGGGGGTAATAAACCACAATAAATATTGCGAATTTGCAGATATTTTTTGGAATACTTGCATTTGTAAGTCCGCCATATTTGCAGATTTGCAAAGTTGCGGACGTTCTGTAATCTCACTCCTGAACGATAATATTTTCAAAAATTGTTCTTAAAAATGGGTTCAAAGTACGATGAAGAATGGTGGAAAGTCTATAGATAGTTTTACTTTTAATGCATAATATTTTAATAAGTGATATTTAACAAATATTTAAAAGTTATGGTTTTTCCACCATTTTTTATAGTATTTAAAAGCTAAAACGCCAATTTCATTCTTTTATTTTTGCCTAATTATTTTAGGAAACTTGTGTTAAGATTTAAAAATGTGCTGTCCATAAGATGCTGCCATCTGAACAGACGGAATAGACACTAAAGTGAAAAATTGCAACATCGCTCCCTATGTAGACGAGTGTAAAACCGGCTTAGCCCAATTTGACCATGTTCCCGGGTGAGGGGCGAGGTGCTGTGCAGGGGGGAAATGTTTCTAGTAAATAAATTAGGTGCGTTTTAATCATCCGCTTCTGCTTCGGAATTGTCGGTTTTCTTGTTTTAATATGACAGGTTAAAACGACTAAACCGACAATTCCGGAATCAGAAGCGGATGATTAAAACGCACATATTATTCTATATATGGTATCAGAAACAACCACGAGACGTGTCACTCAATACAAAAATTAGTTTTGTGGATCGCTCATGCATTATATATGTTTTTCTCCCTTTCTCATACTATTTGTAGATATGACTGTCTCACTTCTGCAGCACTCAAGGGAATGGGTAGGTGTCGCCATCATAGCCCCCTTCTCTTTCTGTTCTGTCATGTAGCCTAGCCTTTCGTTGTTTATTTTATGTTATGGCTTTTCTCATTTGTTATAGTTGTTTTGGAAAGTTTTTACATAATATTAATGTGTTTATTTTATATTGTAGTGTTTGCATACGTAATGTGTTCAATTTGAATTTATTGTATTATTGTAACTAAAATAGTTATGAGAACAATGGCTGAACTTTGTTTAGCTTGTGGATACCGTGAAGAGGTACCTATATAAAATTTATTACTTTTCCCAGTAATTCTGCAAAATATTTTAGTGTCTTGGTATGATCTTGCTAAATTATGATTTAATGGTGGCGGTATTCCATATTTCGAAAGATTTATACGAAATTCCATAATATGCAATAACCACTTTATTCAGGCTGACTACATGATAATAGGTCTTTTCCTTTGCATCGGAAGTGTAGCACTGAGTTACGTTACTTCTGAAAATATTGTTCCATCCATACAATTTGTATAAATGGAACGATATTTTCAGAAGTGGTGTAGCTCAGTGCTACACTTTCGATGCAAAGGAAAAGACCTAATATTACCTGTAGATTCATAGAAAAACTAAAAAGACAAATGGAAACACTTTACTGATTTGTTGATAAAATTTACAAGTAAAGTTTATTAATTATTAAATTATTTTAACAATTTTATTGAGAAATAGATTTAGTCACTTTAAGGCTGTATGTCACGATACTAAATTAAGTACTAAACTTAGCACTAAATTAAGTTATTAATTTAGTACTAAATTTAGAACTAAAAATATTTTTTTCCGTTTGCAACGATACTTATTTTTAGTACTAAATTAACTATAGGCGCACGCGCATTGACGTATTAATACGTGAAATAAGCAGATAAATGAAATATTCTGTGTAAAATAGACAAGTGAAGTAAATGGTGGTTTTATTATCAATTTGACTTGACAACAACCAAATACAGCAATGCACAAACCAGGAAAAAAAACACAATAAAACCTACAAAATCAAACAAGCGAACTTTATTCAAGGCGATAATGCAAAATTTTCGCTAATTAAAAACAAAATGGCACAGAAAATACCGTTGTGTCAACTTTTTCTGTGAAAAACTTCTGCGTAACATTTCGACGCACTTTTAGTACTAAATTTAGTAGAAAAGAGAACAAGTTCTAATTAATTAATTAATTTATCCAGGACCGATTCCACCGTTGTGTTAAACAAAGTTTAAAATGACATTTTTACATTAACAACGTTATTTTAATCTCCGTTTAACACAACGGTGGAATCGGTACTTAGTACTAAATTTTCTGTTTGCAACGTGAATTTTTTAGTACTTAAAAAATGCATTAATTTAGTTCTACATGTAGTACTTAATTTAGTATCGTGACATACAGCCTTTATTATAATATTATTTTGCAATAAAATTATAGGACAGAACTACGTCTAGCACCGTATTATTTCTGAAGTGTGATATGGCACACAAAATATGTATTTGGCTTATCAGTTTTATAAAACATTAAAATTTTTAATATTCCTATTTTTTTAGATACCTACTTTTCTAATTTTACAAAGTGTAAATACATAATACATTTTTATAAGAAATTTCTAGTCGTTCCGTGCGTGACAGCAGTGTCAATTCATTTTTGTACTAACGGACTATTTTTGCGTATACTGACAATACAATTTTCATTAGAATTCGTAATTAAAAAGTATATATGTTAGTTTAAATAAAAGTTTACGGATTTCCAAAACAAGTGAAAAATTAATTTATTATTATTATATATTTTTATCGCTTAAACTAAAAAAAAACCAAGTATAATCAATAATAAAATATAGGCAGGCAACAGTATTTACAGGAAAATGTATGAAAAGTTGTCTTTAAAGAATTAACCTATTCTGTCAAAATAAAAAATAATATTAAATAATAGGGTGAAGTTGAAATGTATAAACAAAAGGATTGTTATTTATATTTTCATTTTTGTTCGACAGAAAACATAGAGTGAATAATTAAAACTGGTTTCCTATCAGGAAGTTACAAAATTGCATTCTAGCCACATACAATAATCAAAGACAGAAATCCAGTTCTTGCTGAACATTTAAGATTAAAGGGATGTTGAAGAAACATCGTAAAATGATAATTTATTGTTTATTTAAAACCTTTCAAGTTTTTGATGTCTACTATTTCCAGTATTACTATTATTATTACAAAAATAAAGGTAATTTTTCTTCTTATTGTACACCTATCCATTTATTTATTTCATTTAATTTCCACTTTGCTACTGAACATTTTTATAATTTACACTGTTTTTTTGCTAGTAGTATTTTTACAATTTTCAATACAGCAACTCCGGTTGCTTATTGTATCGTTTTTACCTATTTTTTTGAACAAAAAATAAAATGTATACGTGTAGTTGATGCCAAAATTACAAAATATCGCCCTAAAATGCCCGAATTATCTACAGCTAGCGCTAGTATCGCTTTTGCTTCCCGACTTTGCACTGAGCTAATAGAGAGTTAAGTATCCTTGATAAACAGAACATCCTATTAAAACGGAACTAGTAGACACTACCGTTAAATGTCAAAATATGGTAATTTAAATTTGGCATTTGTCAGAATTTGGTAAACAAAAAACATGAAATTTTTGAACATAACATTCTTTCCTACCGAAAATTATTAAAAATTATGAGCAAAATCTTTGAAGACGATTTAGGTGTATACATTTCACATGCCGATTTTATCAATAATATCTACAAATCAATTATAAATAATTCTGCATGTTGCATAAATCCAGATTTATTTAAAATTTTCGCAAAATACAAAACTAGTAAAGTGAAATCAAAACGATTGAAGCCAAAGTTTGAAATAAATATGAATTATAATAATGAAGAACAAAGTGAAGTTAAATTAAAATTTTATAAGTTCATCCAAAATAATCTTAGGACACAAAGTGATAATATTGATATTTTGAACAATAATGAGGCGATCAAAGCTGCAGATAAAATTCAGAAGAATTTATCAAACAGGTATTTTGATTAGAAGCAGTACTTTAAAATTGAAATTTTAATAGTAAATAGTATTTTAGAGTTGATCGGAAGTAACTTAGGACCTGCTGTAGTGAAAGAAATAAACGGATCGAACTATCTTTTTCCGCAAAATTCGACGTTCTTCTCGAAAGATGTTTCCGAAATGTATAAACATTTGGGAAATAAGCGGTTTGATCTCATTTTACTGGATCCTCCATGGTGGAACAAGTACATCCGTAGAAAGCGGAAAGTTTCATCAGGTACTATAGTATACAAGTAATGTTTATCAATATTTTTATCATTGCATAATATTTTGAGCATTGAAAGAAATTCTACTAATTGAATTTTAAAGTTATATTTTGTTGTATAGTTTTATTATAATAACAAAATGGAAATAAAACATAAAATAATTAAGAAATACAAATTCAAATGATAAATCTCCTAAAAGACACACACTAATAAATTATATTTTAGATGCTTATAATATGATGTACAATCATGATTTGATGAATCTACCTGTAAACAGTTTATTAACAGATGATGGTCTTGTTGCTGTATGGTGTACAAATTCTGAACAAAATTATAACTCATTATTAAATGACATATTTCCTAATTGGAATGTAACTTTTGTGGCTAAATGGTATTGGGTGAAAGTCACTACGAAATTCGAACCAGTTTGCAATTTTTCTGAACCACCAGGTACTTTTTTGATTAAAATTATTTTCTGTCAATATATTGTTCACCTCTGTGTTATATCAAAAATTTGTGTGTAGATTTTATTTTTGGGTACTGTGTTTTTGTTAATAATATCAAAAAATATCGGACACGCGGATTATAGGGCTCCCTCAGTGTTGCCAGACAAATAAAATTAACATCACCAGAAACCAGAATCTAATGTCGAAAATTACCAGAAATCACTAGCCATAGGAAGGAAAAAAACAATTAGGTCAACTTATCTTTTTTCTATGCTTTTCTGTAGTAGCCACATGTTTTTTTATAGCCCTAATCACCAGTATTTATATTATTTTGCAGTGGAATATCCAAAAATACAAATCTTTGTGTTAATTATTTTTAAAATAGTAACTTTATGTTAATAACTCATAAATTGCTTTTTAAAACGTTATAGATTTTCTTTAGTGATTCATAGAAATATACTTTACAATACTATACATAATCAAATGGTTTACTTTTATCTCACTGAATACTTTATCAAAACATATGGTACACAAAGTCAGTCTTCCTTCATAAAACTTACGTTTTCCAATAAAAAATTATCTACAAAACAAATGTAGTATTCTCTAATCAATCCCTTTATTATTTGTTTTAAAATTTTAGGTGTTTGTTTTTGAAACCTTGCATCCTTATTTTTGAAATATTTCCAATATTTTTAAAATGTCTATGCCAATCATACCTATTTCTGTTTATACAAAAAATGCAGACATAATATCGGAATTTTAATATAAATTGGCATCAGTAATTTATATCCACTCAACGCTAGCAGAAAAAGGTAGCAAAATAGTTTTGAGTAAAATACTTTAATAAACAGTATTGGGTTTCAAGATATGTAACGATTCTCATCTCTGATCAGGTCCGTTTTTAACTGCCGCCGCCTTAATATAATCCAGAATAAGTATACATTTTTAAGCCTATACGTGTCTTTATGAAATTTGGATTTTTTCACACAAACTCAGTTATTGTGTTATTTTATAGCAAAAAAACGAGTTACATAAACCAATATTCCAATATTTAAAAAATGTATGAAGAGCTGGAGCTATCGGGCTGCTATATATTCCAGGATAACGTCCATTTTAGAGAAATTATGTATGAGATAAGAATTATAGAGAATTATATCACAAACAACTTTTATTTAAAAAAATTCCATAAAAATTTAAATTCTTTACATTTTGTCAAATTTCTCGAATACAGACCATTTTAGGAAAATTTTGTATATAACAAAAAATATGGAGAATATTAGCAGAAGTAACTTTTATTTAAATAATTTTCTTCTCCAAACGTAAATAACAGATATATTCCATAAAATAAAAAAATGACCCTCTAGTACCGCCACAGATGTTCCGACTGTGTTCAGAATTTAATCAGTTCATTTTAGGCCAAAATAAAAATCATAATTCAAAAACGAAATATATCAACTCGACATTTTTAGCAAATATCAAGCTGTATAAGGAGAAGAAGCCATTTGATTAAAAAAAAAAAAAATCTGATTAAAAATGGGAGCTTTAACGGGGGTTGAAATTAAAAAAAAAAAAAACAAAAATTAAAAGCGATATCAACATGAAATTTTTGTAGAATTCAAGCTCTATAAGGAGATGATACCTATTGATTGTGAAAAATTTTTTTTAATAAAAGTGGGGGGATTAAGACGGTTGAAATATTTAAAACAAATCTCAAAAACAAACAATAATAACTTAAATTTTTTGCAAAAATCAAGCTCTACAATGGGATAAAGCCTATTGATTCTGAAAAAAATCTGATTGAAAGGGGTTAAGAGGGTCTGTTAAATTTTGAAGAGTATAATTTAGAATGCCACGCATTATATATCTTCATTCTAGTTTATATCTGTGTAATGAGATTGTGATGGGACTGATCTTATAAAATACACATTTTAGTTCACTTGTTTTTTGCCAATAAAAGGTATTTAAAAAATATATTATTTTATTTGACATGTGTGACAAACTGTGAAAATGATTAAATTTACAATAAAAACTAAAAAATGGTAGGTAAAATTTCATATAATAATATTTTTTACACAAAAATCAATGTCAAGCTATCTATATACATAACCTGATATATATTTAAAAATAATCTCAAAATATGAAGACAAGTTAGTTGACTAATTAATAATGTTTATAGAAGGTTTTCAACGTATTAAAAACAAAACAATTATTACAATAACTAAAATATTCATTTATTCATTCATTAATAGTTGTAGTGCTTGAAAACAGTATGATATTGATAATAACTACACTTGTACAAAGTTTTGAACCGAACTTACAAATGATAAAATTATTGGAAAAAGTTAACACCTATTTTAAATTGCTACGAGCCGCCACTGATTTTAAAACAACTTATTTTTAACTGGATCACCTATTTGCAAACAAACTAAATAACAATTATTTCAAATATTTATATCCATTTGAAGGTAGTCCATCTTGTATGCTTGCAGAAACTGTTTGGAAATAACCCAAATATAATGAAAAACAAGCTTACAAAACACAACCAAAGTTTAGAGAACAATTAATAGTACCACTCTCGAGCGGTACCTTTGATCTGTGTACGAGTCACGGTTTTTCACAAAGAGAAAGGGGTTCGTCAGGCGACATCATTTTGCTAGGATCATTCACAGGTCCAGGTTCGCAGTTTTAGATAATTTTTTATATATCTGTACGAAACTTTTTATAAAAATTTATAATAGCATACTTTTAAAATTACAATATCTTTGATCTCCCATCTGAAATTGAGACTGTAACAAAGTTTAAATTCAAAATACGTGTGATAAAACATACCTATGTGATAATAATATAGAGTACTTATTATTTTGAATTAGGCATAGCAGTGCTTTCACAGCAACATGTGGCAATTACGATATCTCCGCTATCGCTATGGTCTCTGGCTTTGTAACTGACATTCGGTTCGGCTAATACCCCACAACTATACCTTCTAATTCTAGTCGACGACTGGCTGTTGCCCTGTTGCCATTTTATTAACTTATATACTAGTCATATGCCTAATACGAAAAAATAAGTACTATATAATTTTGACTATAATTTATCATTGACAGCTGTGAAGCAGGCGTCCAATCCATGGAGACCACCACTGAAAAGAAAAATCACTTGACAATAACTCAACTGACAACTTTCTGGATATAACACTAGCAGAAGATTACCAAAAAAACATTGGCAACCACTGTACAGAACGTCTCTTGACAATAAAGTTGATCCTAAAAAAATGGCGGCATAATCGACGCAGTTCTGATGCTCAGACCTTGCGAAAAACTAAGTCTCAATACTGATTGTTCTCTATATACTGAGATTCAACTAAATAAATTAAAAATGAAAATGCAAAAAACAGCAACCAAATTAACAATATAAATAAACTCACTGAAATAACCGAGGTGGTTGATTTTACTCGAAATATAGTTTTAGTTTGGGTAGACACACAATGTCAGTGTGGATGTACAAACTTCAATAAAGTTTTGTTCAGTTCCTGATGTTGAGCTATAACATTTCTGAGCATCAGGAACTGCTGAGTCACCAGCTCTTGTAGTTGATCAACCGTTATTTGACCCTGTTGTTCAGGAAGAGACTCGCAAACCCCATAAGTCATACCTCTCGACAAATATTAGTGTACAATTAACCCTGTGTCTGTAGATTATACAATATACAATAGCTTACCTTGTTGCGGTTTTAGTACCACAAACAAGCCAAGGTTCCTACAGGAGGGCTATATCTAAGCAGTTATCGAACGTCCCACATACTATGGCAGACGCTGCCTTAGCATGGTGGACGTTCGCCTGTAGGACCGTTATGCCCTTCTGTGGCTCGTTGAAGGCGCCGTGAGATCTGCCCTTTGACCTTTCTCTACCTCCATTGGGGAAGCCGTATCGGGGCTTCGTGGCCTTTTGAGAGGGCTCCCGCCACTTTTTGTAGCTTAAGAAACCACCCTCCAAGGTGACCTACTAGTTTTTTTTAATTTTTCTCGAAAACTGTTACCCTGACGAGGAAAATGAATAGGACTTAAATTATTCGCTATAAAATTCTACATCATTTATGTCCTGTACATTTTTTTCCAATATCGACCCCTAATCTCACAAATGACGTTTAAGTTTGCTTAATGCTGGTATGACCCAGTCATTGAAAAAGTTAAACTTCACTTTTCATTCTCTATCACTCTTTTTCGAGAGCGTGGCAAAACCGCTCAGTTATGGTTACAGTATCATGAATTGGTCACAAATTCCTGCGAAATTGCTTACCGACATAGGCGTTTTCGGAAACTTACTCGGATCAGAATGATTACAAATCCTCTTGTTAGTTTACCTAGTGTTACTAACCCTATCCGCTTTCGGAAACTAGTAGTTTACTGATCCAGTTTTGTGATCGAAATCAGAACTTTGTGATACTCTTTGCGAGTAGATTAGTAATAGATTTGCATGCTCACCGCAAGATTTTATAAAGGAATGACGGAATAACTTTTTTGTATCTGCATTGGGATTCTCATCTTTCAATTCGGCACGTGTTGAGACGACTATCTTCGTTCCACAGAATGCTATTCATATGTAATGTCTCTCTCTATTCAATTCGTTAAGTGTTGAGTACGCACATACGAATTAATTTAGTTACTTAAAACTTGTAATGTTTATACAAGAGGATAATAACTTCATCACTAGAATACTATTCTAAAATCATACTTGCTAGAGGGAATAGGTTATTTAAAATAAAATGGTTCTTAAACAAATAAGGATTTTAAATAATAAATGTCACGCGGGTAAAGTCAAAAATTGATAAAAGTTGATAAACAGGAACAATAATTAAACTCGTTCGTAAACTGTCAGCACTAAGTTTAGTGATCTAAGTGATCCGTTGGGTAAACCCAGTAAACCGGATTTGTGATTTATTTGGATTCTTGAAATTGTCTATATCTACAGCCAACAATTCGGTGACAATAAAAGAAGTAATTCCAAATGACACTACACACTTACTGCCAGGGACGACAAGAGGGGGGGTAGCCGGGACTAATTCCCGGGGCCCGGTCTCAAGTGGGGGCCCGGCAGCTGCATAAGGGGGACCCGGCCGTTTTAGGTGAGGACGTTTCTTTTATAGAAGTGCAGAGAATACTTTGTACCGCACACACACGCCCAAAGAATAGGCCTTTTCATCACCATTTTTTTGTGCGCATGCGTCAGAATCGACCATCTTTTTCGTACTATTTTTTGTAAACAAGCCTGTTAAAATGTCCACGGGAAAAAGATTATAACCGATAAATATTAATTTTAAGTATATTCATTTAAAAAAAAAGGAAAAAAAGTAAAGTAATAAGTGTCTTAATTGAAAAATAATCTTTTGCAATCAATTAATTATGTTGTCTGTACGGAAAGGAAAAACGAAAAACGAGTATGTAAAAGTGACAAACGGTATAAATCATTCAAAGGTAATACATTATTGTTTTATAAATTTTACAAAGACTCGCCTGCAATATCGTAAAAAAACTAATAAATCTTTCATTAGGCAAAATACATATTAAAACATGTTCAAAGTGAGCATTATGAGTGAAAAATGTGGTCGAAGTGACAAAGGTTTTCGATCTATTGATGATGTTACTAAAGACTTATATTTGTTCACTACATTTTCATGCAGAAAGTGGTCCAACAGAAGAAAATACTTGTCTGGTATTACACAATATTTTTTTTTTTAATAATAAATGCTTTGGTATACACAGTTATATTATTAAAAATGTCATGTTGATCCTTAAAATTTAAATAATTTATCTTATTAATTATACTCGTGATTAACTTTCATGTTAAAGTGTTTTTGCAATTACTAATAGTTGGTTGGCATAATTAATTAAAATAAAGTTTTATGACAGTATCAAATAAGTTGTGGGTGCGGGTTTAAACAAAGTTCCTTTAGCATTAATAATTTTTAATCACTTAACAAAACACAGAACTGAAACGAATAACAATGGTTATTAAGAATAAACAAATGAATACCGGGTTTAAATAATTATGAAAACACAAGTCTCGACCTGAAGGGAATGAACTCTTAAAAGCTTAAAACAATACTGTCTTTCTGCAGGGGGGGATATCGCGCATGGTGTCATGGCGGCGCTGACGTCATGCGTAGAGTTAGCGCGTTATAATTATCATATGACACATGGACATTGCAGATATTTGTAATATATTATGTTGTAATGTAAACTTTGTTCTTTGTGTATGGTATTAGTTGAACCCATTAAAAAAATGCGGTACAGATAAAACCTTAATTATTAAAGTAAATTATTCAAGAACGATATTGTGTTTTTTCCACTTTCCTCGACAGTAAGAGCCTAGGTAAAGTGAGTAGTGGCCCAAAGGTGGCTCCAGTTAGAGCCCAGTGGCCACGCCTTCCCCTAGATTAAAATTATTACAATTAAAAGAACCTTTTATTAAAAAAAAATATATGCTAAAAAGGGAATTGTTATAGGCAATGCTACCCGCCTTCTCACGAAAATTCGACATGGAGCCGACCTTGCAGTGGCTTGTGACCGTGCAGATAAATTTAAAACAGAAAATTGTCATATATATATTCCAAGCACTTTCAACCTTCCAAATATAAGAGGTACCTAAAAGCAGAACTTCACATTGGTTTATTCGCAACTCGGGACTTCTTCTGGAGACTCTACCCTTTTAAGGCTGAAAATTTCGCAGTATAAGTAAAGGTGAAATTGTAAATGTCGCCAAAAAAAAATACTTGTACTTGATAAATGATTTAAAAATCTGTCAGCGACTAAGTCCAGGAAAATGCAGTGACAATTTATTTTAATTTTGTATATGTACCCACCATGTAGCAATTATTTGTATTTGGTACATTATTTTTATGCTTTGCATTATATTATATTAATGAAAAATATATTTTTTAAATCTATTATCGTTATCATCTTATTAAATAAATAAATCTCATCTTTTTTATAAAAAAAGTAGGTAGTTAAGTATATTCAAATTGCATAATATAATGCAGGTAAATGAGTCAGCAGTTACGAATCCTAATCAGGTAAAAATTTCCTGCTATACAAAATTTTTACCCAGGGTCCCCAGTTGGGAAGTTCCGAGTTGCGAATATTCCCTTCTCATCATCCTGGTCATAGGATCTATTCTTTAGAAGTCGAATGTTTCTCAAAATTAAAAACCTGGGTTCGAATTTGTATAACAAAAAAAATCATTAAAAAGAAAAATAAAAAAAACCTTAAAATAAATATTTCTTTTATGTATTTGCATTTATGTTCCCTTCATAGCTTCATAGTTTAGGAAATCTAAACTATCCCATAATAATATCCTTAGTTATTTCATGTAATATTTTAAATATCCTTTTTTATTCATGAAATTTCTGTAAATCGTATTTATTTTCCTCACACTCAGTCAGTATTTTTAAATTCGCGCCTATACAAACTCTACGCGTGACGAAATGCGCGTGGCCGTCCTATTTTTGACACTGTTGATATCTTACCTTTTATTTTTTATACCATGGTCTTTCTGCACTACATGGATGGCGGCGTTGCCGGCTCTCGCTTATAGCCGATCATCTTGTTACAGCTATAATTTATATTTGTTTTCATTAATTTTTTACACAGTTAAAAAGTATTGAAACCTAACCTCTCCTCAATCGGCACATTTTTATTCTTTGTTCCGGACGTCCACGACACTTCAAGCACCTTTTCAATTGCTCACAACTATGTGCTTCCACAAAGTTATAAAAATGTAAATCACCATCAACGATTTTTTCTAATGATTGATTTGTATGTAGTTTTCGATTTTTCGATTTTTCCATTTTTCGATTTTTCGATTTTTCCATTTTTCGACTTTTCGACATTTCTGTCTTCTTAGGATTGATAGACAGTGAATGGTCCTTGCACCACTGTTCGATAATTTTTAGAGCTACTTGCATTCCTTCGATTTTGGGCAGGGTCAGAACATCTGGGGGGGTACTATATAGGGGGTAATTTTTAGATTTTATGAAATATGTCTGTTATTTACGATTGGAGAAGAAAATTCTTTAAATAAAAGTTACTTCATATATTATTTTCGATAATTTTATGGAAATTGTTCAAATAAAAGTTATTTGAAATAAAATTTTCTACAATTCTTGTTCCTTAATAATTTCTCTAAAATATTCCGTATTCGAGATATTTTAGAAAATGTGTAAATTTAGAATTTTCATAAAACTCAAAAACAGATAAAGAAAAACACCTCAAATTTTAAACTTATACTATATTCCTGCCTGAGGTAAACTGATTAGATTTTGGACAGAGTCAGTACATCTGGAGGGGTACTTTATAGAAGGTAATTTTTATATTTTATCGAATATATTTGTTATTTATGTTTGGAGAAGAAAATTGTTCAAATAAAAGTTACTTCTTATATTATTCGCTATAATTTTTCTACAATGGTACGTATTCGAGAAATTTTACAAAATTAAAAAATTCTGATTTTTAAGATGTTTGCGAGTTTGATCTCTATAATTTTAGTTTTTTACATAATTTCCCTAACATGGACCGTAATAGAAAAATTGGAGGAAAAGTATAAAATTTTAATTTTTTAGCAATTTCGTTGGCAATGAATATATATATAGAAAAATATTTCGAGTTAGGTATATGTGGAAAATGTATATATTTAGTTAACATCTAAACATTACCAGAGGTGCTTAAATAGGTTGTACAAAATAACCAGACAAAGCCTGTAATAACTAGATAGGAAAGTCATGTGATTTTTTAGTAACTTTTGTTTCGTTTAGTTCACTTTTGAGTAAGAGAAATGGATTTGTAATTTTGGGTATCTCCACAACTATATTGTAGAAAAAGTGTTGTGTTTTATTTGTTACAGGTAAACAACCGTACGAAAAATTAATTTTCGCTCATCGCAAGCGTTCCTTACCTTCGCCTATCGATGGAAAATTGCTAGTTAGCGTTCCTAGCGCAATACATTCCCATAAGCCGCCACTCGTTGACATATTGAAAGACTTTCTACCCGAGAATCCGGAATGCTTGGAAATATTCGCCAGATATCTGTTACCAGGTTGGACGAGTTATGGTAATGAAGTTCTAAAGTTACAGCACCAATGTCTGTTTAGTTGATATAAAAATCAACTAACAAATAAAGAAAATAACTGGTTCATAGATGTTTTCATAGACATATTGTCGTTGCAAGGTCATTGCAAGAGCTTTTGCCATCTATCAGTTTACAGAGCAATGAAATTATTTATTAGAAAAGAAGAAATAAGAAAAGAAAATCTTTAATTTTAGCAAAAATAATGTACACTCACCGCAGAATTAACCGCCCACCCAATTATTTTTATAAAAAGTTCAAAATTTTCAAAAACTGTTTTTCTTTTATTTTCTAAAATTAAACAAAAACTTTCATTTGATTGGTATTTGTTTACTTTTTCAAGATGTACTTAGACATTAAAAAGTAAAAAAAAAATCAAAATTAAAAATATCTCCAACTAAATAACAAAACATTGGGTGGGCGGTTGATTCTGCCGGTGAGTGTATTTGTTAGGATTTAGGATTGAAAAATGATAAAGATTTATATAAAATACAGTACATTTTTTATTTAATTTTAAAATTGATGTATTATAAATAACATTTATATATTGATCTATTTTAAATAACATTGTTAAATAAATTAGTATTTATTTTAAAATTTTGTTGATTGATTCACCCCGTCAATCTTAATATAGCTCTCATCTGCTAATATCACCAGATTACATGCGGAACAGGTCACATAAAACTATCTTTGAGAGCAGTCCTCCCTTAGGCTGTCGGGGTGTCGGGACATCGGGAAATATCGTTTTTCGTAAGAAGTTTCACTTATTTGTTTTTAATTATTTGTTCTATTCATTTGTATTTATTTTTATTTATCTTTTATTTATTTTTATTTATTTTTATTTATTTTTATTTATTTTTATTTATTTTTATTTATTTTTATTTATTTTTATTTATTTTTATTTATTTTTATTTATTTTTATTTATTTTTATTTATTTTTATTTATTTTTATTTATTTTTATTTATTTTTATTTATTTTTATTTATTTTTATTTATTTTTATTTATTTTTATTTATTTTTTATTTATTTTTATTTATTTTTATTTATTTTTATTTATTTTTATTTATTTTTATTTATTTTTATTTATTTTTATTTATTTTTATTTATTTTTATTTATTTTTATTTATTTTTATTTATTTTTATTTATTTTTATTTATTTTTATTTATTTTTATTTATTTTTATTTATTTTTATTTATTTTTATTTATTTTTATTTATTTTTATTTATTTTTATTTATTTTTATTTATTTTTATTTATTTTTATTTATTTTTATTTATTTTTATTTATTTTTATTTATTTTTATTTATTTTTATTTATTTTTATTTATTTTTATTTATTTTATTTATTTTTATTTATTTATTTTATTTATTTATTTTTATTTATTTTTATTTATTTTTATTTATTTTTATTTATTTTTATTTATTTTTATTTATTTTTATTTATTTTTATTTATTTTTATTTATTTTTATTTATTTTTATTTACTTTTATTTATTTTTATTTATTTTTATTTATTTTTATTTATTTTTATTTATTTTTATTTATTTTTATTTATTTTTATTTATTTTTATTTATTTTTATTTATTTTTATTTATTTTTATTTATTTTTATTTATTTTTATTTATTTTTATTTATTTTTATTTATTTTTATTTATTTTTATTTATTTTTATTTATTTTTATTTATTTTTATTTATTTTTATTTATTTTTATTTATTTTTATTTATTTTTATTTATTTTTATTTATTTTTATTTATTTTTATTTACTTTTATTTATTTTTATTTATTTTTATTTATTTTTATTTATTTTTATTTATTTTTATTTATTTTTATTTATTTTTATTTATTTTTATTTATTTTTATTTATTTTTATTTATTTTTATTTATTTTTATTTATTTTTATTTATTTTTATTTATTTTTATTTATTTTTATTTATTTTTATTTATTTTTATTTATTTTTATTTATTTTTATTTATTTTTATTTATTTTTATTTATTTTTATTTATTTTTATTTATTTTTATTTATTTTTATTATTTTTATTTATTTTTATTTATTTTTATTTATTTTTATTTATTTTTATTTATTTTTATTTATTTTTATTTATTTTTATTTATTTTTATTTATTTTTATTTATTTTTATTTATTTTTATTTATTTTTATTTATTTTTATTTATTTTTATTTATTTTTATTTATTTTTTTATTTTTATTTATTTTTATTTATTTTTATTTATTTTTATTTATTTTATTTATTTTTATTTATTTTTTATTTATTTTTATTTATTTTTATTTATTTATTTTTATTTATTTATTTTTATTTATTTTTATTTATTTTTATTTATTTTTATTTATTTTTATTTATTTTATTTATTTTTATTTATTTTTATTTATTTTTATTTATTTTTATTTATTTTTATTTACTTTTATTTATTTTTATTTATTTTTATTTATTTTTATTTATTTTTATTTATTTTTATTTATTTTATTTATTTTTATTTATTTTTATTTATTTTTATTTATCTTTTATTTATTTTTATTTATTTTTATTTATTTTTATTTATTTTTATTTATTTTTATTTATTTTTATTTATTTTTATTTATTTTTATTTATTTTTATTTATTTTTATTTATTTTTATTTATTTTTATTTATTTTTATTTATTTTTATTTATTTTTATTTATTTTTATTTATTTTTATTTATTTTTATTTATTTTTATTTATTTTTATTTATTTTTATTTATTTTTATTTACTTTTATTTATTTTTATTTATTTTTATTTATTTTTATTTATTTTTATTTATTTTTATTTATTTTTATTTATTTTTATTTATTTTTATTTATTTTTATTTATTTTTATTTATTTTTATTTATTTTTATTATTTTTTATTTATTTTTATTTATTTTTATTTATTTTTATTTATTTTTATTTATTTTTATTTATTTTTATTTATTTTTATTTATTTTTATTTATTTTTATTTATTTTTATTTATTTTTATTTATTTTTATTTATTTTTATTTATTTTTATTTATTTTTATTTATTTTTATTTATTTTTATTTATTTTTATTTATTTTTATTTATTTTTATTTATTTTTATTTATTTTTATTTATTTATATTTATTTTTATTTATTTTTATTTATTTTTATTTATTTTTATTTATTTTTATTTATTTATTTTTATTTAATTTTATTTATTTTTTTTACTTATTTTTTTTCATTACTTTTATTTATTTTATTTTTATTTTGCCACTTTTCTCTCCCCTTAAAATGTGAAAATCCAAAACACTGAAACACGTCATTATTAATTTATGATGGGTAGCTTCAATTCCAATTTTCAAGTTCCTACTTTTAAAAAATAAATATACTTTAAAAAAAACTAAAAAACACGCTTTTGTAATACATCGAACTAAAAAGTGTAAAATAATTTTTCAAATAAGCTTAAAACAATAATAAATGGAAAATACTAGTATTAGTGTGAAAAAAGCGTCGCGCGCTCGATGTACGAGAAATATGGACAAAGCGCCCCACGCTTTTTTCACAATAATACTAGTATTTTCCATTTATTATTGTTTTAAGCTTATTTGAAAAATTATTTTTCACTTTTTAGTTCGATGTATTATAAAAGCGTGTTTTTTAGTTTTTTTTAAAAAAAATTGTTGAAAAAAAAATTTTTTTTTCAGCCTTGGGGATTAGAACCCACGATCGGTAAGTCTAGCAATCGATTACCCGTGCCTTAGACCGCTCGGTCAACGAACGAACTTGAGTTAGTGGGATATACTGACAGTAATAAACTTGCTTTTAGTCCAAAGGAGAGCTACATACATACATACATACAGGTGAAGCTAATATAAGCGTGTTAAAAGTCGATACTACCGTACCTGCAAACTTTCACCTCCCCCCCCCGTTTCCCCCTTTAAAATGTAAAAATCCAGAAACCCTAAAATACGTCATTATTTATTTATGATTAGTAGCTACAATTCCAATTTTCAGGTTCCTACCTTTAAAAAATATGTACTCCCATACAAACGTTCATCCTCCATTCCCCCCACCCTTTTAAAATGTAAAAATACACGTCATTATTTATTTATGATAAGTAGCTACAATTCCAATTTTCAAGTTCCTACCTTTAAAAAAATTCAAATTTCCCCCCCCCCCCCCTTAAAATGTGCAAGGGAGGGGGTTGACACATAACAGATGTCTGCATTGTAAAAATGTGTTTAATTTGGAATAAAAATCAACCTGTTTTAGCATTTCTAAAAATCCAATGATTAATGCCGAAAAACAGGATGAAACTGTTTTGAGTGACCCACTCCTGTATATCAAAAATGGCTAGATTTATCGAATTAGTTCATAAAACAAAATTTGCTTAAAAATGCATTTTTTACAAGATGCGCTACATAAGAAAGATCCTTCCATCGAAAAAAAAAAAAAAAAAAATATTGAGCGAAGCGCCATTTACATATTGACCTATTTAAAATCAATGTATATCTAAAACTGAAGCTCTCTTAGCGCTCTATGAACTGGCTTTTACAGAATTAAAATATCTCTATTACTTACCAAAATATCCGGCCTGGGAGTTTTTATTGGTACACCCTGTATACCTACATGTCTACATGATTATGAAATGCTAAATGAAACGTTTAATAATTTATAAAACTTTTACTTTAAATTACAACAAAAATAGAAACAAATTAAAGTTTAAATGTGTTAACTTTTAGATCATTTACTTTATCTGTCCCAATTTTGTATAATCAAAAATAGTTATAAATTACTTTATCACTGATTCAGGTAATAATAAATAAAACAAATATTTAGCTGATTACTTCATTTAAAGTGAAAATATAAATAAGTTACAAAAATTAACACTCGTGTTATCAAAATAACATATCAAATAAGATGTATTTCTGGTTCGCTCTGAGATTTCTGATACACAAACTGTTTCGCAGCCGTAATTTGTTTGGAATACCTGGAAAATAAATATTTACCACATTCTAGAATTAAGAACAATATTAAAAGTGTTACAATAATACTCAATTTAACTGAAACATCATGTGTATATGTAATTATTTCATTACAGTATCAGTCACATTCTTGTTAGTTATATCACTTTTTACCAAACTTTCATCGATTTCCCTACAGGGTATTCCGTAAATATTACTAACATTGTAGTATCCGCCACCTTTTATGGTTAGTAACTTATTATCGCGACTTAAATTACTGAGCAGCTTGCAAGTCCAGTTATTGCCGTCCAAATCAATTTCTTTCAGCCAAATCGTATGCGTCAAGATTCCTTTAACATTAAGGTTTGTTAAATTATTAAAAGCAATACCCAGCGAGCGTAGATCCTTCATATTATGAAAGATATCTTCGTTTAAATATAATAAACGATTGTAGCTCAAATTTAGTTCAGCTATAGTATCGAGGCCGTTCAAAGAACCGGCGCTAATATCTGTAATTTGATTATAGCTTAAATCTAAATATTCCAAAGATTTTAAATGCCTAAAACACCCGAGGGTTAGTTTTTTTAAACGATTATGCTGCAACCAAAGGTTCCGTAATTGAAACAAATTTTCGAATATATTAAAATCGATTTCTTCTAAGTTATTGTAACTCAATTCGAGTTTAACGAGACTCGATAGTTTCGATAAATTTTGTATTTTAATCAAGTTATTGTGGGTCAAATTTATTAATTTAACAATCGTTGGCACCCCGGAGAAATCCATTATTTTAATATGATTTTCTGCTAAAGATAAACCTTCTAGAGTCGTTAGTTTTTTTAGACTTTCGAAATTAGTTATCTGGTTGTTATCTAGCTCTAGAATGGTTAAATTTGTAAGGTTAGAAAATGTGTTTTCCGTTATAATAGGACCCATTATATTGTTGTTTAAATGTAAAGAGTTTAATAATGGTAAGTTGAGTAAAGAATGTGTCACTGTTTTTAGTTTGTTTGAGTCTAAAACGAGTTTCTGCAAGTTAATTAAATTAGACATATTAATCGATTGTAAATTATTTTGATCGACATTTAAATTGACCAAAGAATGTGGAAAATGCGAGGCATCTAAATATGTCAAATCGTTATTATTGATATTAAGATCTTGCAGCATTTTATTATTAACGAAAACGTTAATTTCTACAGCGGTTAATAAATTGTTATTTAAATGGACGGTTTGTATAGCAGTAAGAGGCCAAAACGTTTTCGAAGGAAACGCGCTTATATGATTGAATGCCAAATTTATTTCTTCTAAATTTCCCAAATCTAAAAACGCGTCTGATTGGATATTACTGATCTGGTTGTGCTGTAAATTCAATTTTCTCAAATTTACAGCACCAGCAAAACTTTTTCCTTCAATTTCGCTCAGTAAGTTATTTTGTAAGTCTAAAAAATAAATAGCAAACGATTTAAATGCGTTATCTTTGATTCTTCTGATTTTGTTATTAATCAAAGTTATCGTTGATATGTTTGAGCGCTCGAAAGTCTTTTCTTGGATGAGTTGAATATTGGCTTCGATAGTCATTTGAGTCAAGTTTAAAGTTACGAACATGTCTTTATTGATTTCCGGAAGATCGCTGTTGGTGACTTCGAGGTAGGGACTGGAAGAGTTCATTGTGGTTAATACTTGGAAGTTGAAGTTGCTGGATTTGAGATCCGTGCAAGTGACGTAGCGGTATAATACTCGCTCGATTTTGTAGTACAACGTTACGGTTTTCTTTTGCATCAGGCAGGATTCTTCTGATCTATCAATTGATGTTATCGTTAGAATGATCAATAACAGATGGGCATTTAAAAATCTGAAATAAAAATTTACCTTTAAGTATTGAATTTCTAAAATGGTTTAACTGCCTAATATTAAAGTAAGAGAAAAAATCACAAATAGTTTCAACAGGATACTTTAAGGGGCAATCCAATAAAAGTCCATGATCTTCTGATGTTAGGTATCTATTAAGTGTTTGGTTATAACAGCTTCAACATATTTAAAATACTGGCCCATTTTTATTATACTCTTCACACGGAGTCTGTAAAGAGTTTGAAAACTTTAGGAAAAATCAAGCTTTATAAGGGGACGAAGCCTATTGATTTTGAAAAAATTATAATAAAAATGGGGGAAATAAAAAAAAAATCATAGAATCAAAACGAAAAGCGACAACAACATGAAATAATCAAGCTCTATACGAAGATGCCACAGTCTTGTTCTGTCGCTTGTAGAGACCGTACGTTTTGCGAGTGAAGAAACAAAAAGTGGTTTATTTAGCCTGGTATCAGATAAGTACACCTTAATTTTATTTTTCATTAGGTATATTTATTTTAACGAAATTATTTGGTTAGCAAATACATAGTTTAGTTTAATTTTTCAAAATGAATGAAGATAAATTAAATAATACTATAATAGAAGGAGAAAATGAATTAAAATATGATTTTACTAACAAATATCGAGAATCAGATACAGGGCCATAATTGGTCTTTTTGGAACATAAAGAAAGAAATCTAGGTCGTTTATTTCCCATTCGTGTTGGACATTTTTTAATGGAAAATCAATATTTTAAAAATAATGTTTTGGATATTAAACCATTAGGTTTAAATAGAGTAAAAATTATTTGTAAAACTTATGAAGCTGCAAACGAATTAATTAATCACGAAATTGTAATCAAAAATAATCTAGTCGCATATATACCAAATTATTACACACATAAAAAAGGTATAATTAGAATGGTAGACACTATGTTTTCTGAGGAATATATTTTAAAAGCTATAGAGTCTGATATAAAAGTCACTGAAGTACGACGTATGAAACGAAGGATACACGACGATACAACAAAAACTTCTACACTTGTAGATAGGCAAATGGTTGTTCTCACATTCCTGGGGACTCAAATCCCTGGGAATGTTAGAATAAATATGGTAAATTTTGGTGTGGATCCTTATGTTTATCCTGTAACTCAATGTTTTAAATACTTACGTTACGGACATACTAGCCGACAATGTAAAGGAAAAAAAAAGGTGTCAAAAATGTGCAGGAGAAACATGTAATGATAAATGCGAAAAGGATGAAAAGAAATGTGTACATTGTGGAGATGGAAATCACGACGCAGTTTCGCGTGATTGTCCTATCTACAAACAACAATTAAATATTAAAAGGGTAATGGCTTTTGAAAATTTGTCCTTCAAAGAAGCTCAATTTTTGGTTGAAAATCCATCATATGCTAAAGTAGCAACGCACAATAGATTCTCGTTATTAGGAAACGAGAATCAATTCCCTGAGTTGCCGCAACCGAAAACTAACCCGAATTTTCTATTGAAAAAACCCGCGAGACCTACTAGTTTTAAGAACACTAATCAATCTCAGCCAAAAAAACGAAAAACAATTTCCCCCCCAATTTCACCATCTCCATCACATGCAGATACTTTAAAAAAGGAGACAAAAAAGCACAGTCAGTACTACCGAATCCCTACAGGAATGAATACATTCAATATAAAGAACAAATTATATGCCAAATGGTACAATTTATTAATAAAATAGCCAATAATAAATTAGATACAAATGAAGTAAATATAAGAAACCAAATTTCTTCAATTTTAGATTGTGATAATAGGTGTACAGATACATGTAATAAGCTAGATAATGATAGCGTAACTGTAATGGAGCTTAGTAGTAATAGCGAGGATGATGACACATATTAAACAAAAAATAAACATATTGCAGTGGAACATAAAATCGGTTAACTCTCGATTAGCTTAATTACTCAATTTAATTAATGAATTCAACATTAATATAGTTGTTTTATCAGAAACATGGTCAAAAGAATCATATAACTTTAAGATTAAGGGTTTTAACATCGTTAAAAAATGTAGACAAGATGGGTATGGCGGTGTAGCCATTCTAATATATCAAAACATGCAATTTGAAGAAATAATAATAAATACGGGGTGTCAAGATATTGAAATTTGCGCGGTTAAGGTAAATCATGGGTCAGTATGTAAATATAGTTTCAGTATACAAGCAACCGCGAGCTGCTGTCAAACGGAAAGACTGGTGCAATATTTTTAGACAATTTTCAAATAAGACGATTGTGTGCGGCGATTTCAACAGTCATTATGCACTATGGGGAAGTTATGATAATAACGCTCAAGGTAATGAGTTAGTAGAAGCTTTCGATGACCATGACTTGATTGTAATAAACGATGGTACTCCCATCCGCATTTCACTGCCCGGACAAAATCCGTCAGCAGTGGACCTTACAATCCTTTCACCTTCTCTAGTTGATAAACTTACTTGGAGGGTAAATTCGGATTCTATGGGTTCGGATCATTTTCCGATAATTATCTCATCTGAAATTAGCGCATTTACCCATAAAATTTTACCATCTTCTAAATGGAATGATTCTCGAGTAGATTGGATAGTATTTGAAACTATCTTGGATAATTCGGCTAAGAATATTGACTTTAATTTAAAAACACCTGCAGAAAAATACGAAATATTTGTAAACAGCTTCACTGAAGCAGCACAGATAACTATGGGTATTAAAAAGCCTTTTCTACCAAATACCAAAAAGTCATATTGGTGGGATAACGAGTGTACAGATATGGCAAGACTCCGAAAAAAACGCTTTAAAAACATATGTTTTAAACGCGAATGTAAATAATTACTTGAAGTATAAAAACATTGCCGCGGCAACGAAGAAACTTTTTAAACAAAAGCAACGAAACAGTTGGAAGCTGTACGTAACGAAATTAAATAAAAATTCTTCAATATCTGAAATATGGAAAACTGTTAGGTCCATTAGTAATAAAAACTACTCACAAAATAAACCTCAAATCTCAGATGAAACAATAAATGAAATTCTAGATTATTATGCACCTCCAACTGTTTCACGCGAACTCGACAAAAACTTTGAACAAACAACACAAACTGATTCAATTGCAGAATTTTTTACTTTTGAGGAATTGGAAGTTTCACTAAAAAAATCAAAAAACACAGTCGTTTAAAACTATATTATTAGATATATTTAATGCTTGGTGGAGTCATCATAATATAATTAATGAACTTAAACAAATTGTTATCACTTTAATCCACAAAACTGGTAAAAATCTTACACTGCCTTCTTCATACCGACCAATTTCGCTGATGTCATGCATTTGAAAGAATGATCAAACTTCGATTAGAATTCTTTCTGGAAAAAAATATATATCTTACCAAAAGCACAATTTGGTTATAGGAGGGGATCAGGAACATCAGATGCATTAGCACACTTGATAACAGACATTCAACTAAGCTTCTCAAAGAATGAATATCTAACATGTTTATTCTTAGATTTAAAAGGGGCATATGATTCTGTGGACTTGGAAATTCTATATCAAAAAATGATTAAGTCTGGATTATGCAAGAAGGCAGCCTACAGTATAGTACAAATTTTTGATGGTAGAAATATTTATGTTCGAAACGAATTGTATGGTCCTAGATTAGTGTATAACGGTATTCCGCAAGGATTAATACTTAGTCCAATCCTCTTTAATTTATACGTCAGAATTGCATAACTTATTTGAGAAAAATGTTAAAATAGTACAATACGCAGATGATATATGTATATATGTCAGCCATAAGAAATATAGCCAATGTCTTAATGATCTACATAGAATTCTTCGAAAAGTTAAAAACTGGTTATTGGAAATGGGTTTTACAATGTCTCCAGAAAAATCAGCAGTAATGTGTTTTACTAGACATCGAGTCAACCTAGACAGACATATTAATTTTGATGGAGTTATTATTCCCATAGTCAACCAATATAAATATCTAGGTATGGTTTTGGACCCGAAATTGCTTTGGGCACAGCATATTGAATATGTAAAAGGTCGCTCTGAGAAGGGCCTCAATATTCTAAAGAGTGTATGTGGGAAAGCATGGGGAGCAATACCGAGTATAGCATTATTATTCTATAGATCTTACATTAGGTCTATAATTGATTATGGCTGCATATACTACGGCTCAGCTGCAAACACGCATCTAAAAAAATTGACAGAATTCAGTATAAAGCTATTAGAATATGTACAGGAGTAGATGTAATTGGCCGGTTCTGGAAATGAGAAAGAGGTACAGAGAGAGGTAATTGGGTAATTAGTAATTATCCTAAGTACCCCCCACCCTTCGCGCAATTAGCAAGTACCTCCCAATTACATCATGTACTGTAATAAGTGCAATTGCACAGTAAGTACCACCCAATTACATCATGTACTGTAATAAGTGCAATTGCACAGTAAGTACCTCCCAATTACCATGTACACGCCATACTGTAATGATTGTATTTGCATAATAAGTACCTCCCAATTACCCACAGGGTATACATCTCATTACTCCATACATATTAAAGTGTAAGTACACCTTAGGTAGTAATTACTGTATGCAATGTAGTGTAATGAATGTTATCTAACTGCCTCCTAGTGATTAATGTTGGTAGCACGTCCTTAACTCTCAGCCGGCGTGCCTAGAGTGCATAGCTTGCGTTAGAGACGGTCGTGCTTAACCGAAATATCGAAGTAAGGGACTAAGAAGGGGTAGCCTGCGCCAGAGATAGACGCGCAATTAGAAAGTACCTCCCAATTACAGCATGTACTGTAATAAGTGCAATTGCACAGTAAGTACCACCCAATTACCATCTACACGCCATACTGTAATGATTGTAATTGCATAATAAGTACCTCCCAATTACCCACAGGGTATACATCTCATTACTCCATACATATTAAAGTGTAAGTACACCTTAGGTAGTAATTACTGTATGCAATGTAGTGAATGTTA